CACCGTTCCAGCCGGACCCTGAATGGGGGGGCCCGGCTAACCGGATCTTTGTCCCAGACGCTGCCCGCTACCCTGGTCCTGGAATGGGCCCAAGACCATTATTCCTCCTCCACCAAACGTTACAGTTGTCACTATGCATTAGGGCAGGTAGCGTTCTCCTGGCATCTGCCAAACCCAGATTTGTCCGTTTGACTGCCAGATGGTGAAGCGTGATTCATCACTCCAGAGAACGTGTTTTCACTGCTCCAGAGTCCAATGGTGGCGAGCTTTACACCACCAGCCATCGCTTGGCATTGCGCATGGTGATCTTAGGCTTGTGTGTGGCTGTTCGGCCATGGAAACCCATTTCATTAAGCTCTCGACAAAGTTATTGTGCTGACGTTGCTTCCAGAGGCAATTTGGAACTCGGTAGTGAGTGTTGCAACTGAGGACAGACGATTTTTACTCGCTACGCGCTTCAGTTCTTCGGCGGTTCTGTGATCTTGTGTGCCTACCACTTTGCGGATGAGCCGTTGTTGCTCCTAGACATTTCCACTTCACAATAACAGCACTTACAGTTGACCGGGGCAGCTCTAGCAGGGCAGAAATTTGATGAACTGACTTGTTGGAAAGGTTGCATCCTATGACGGTGCCACGTTGAAAGTCACTGAGCTCTTCAGTAAGGCCATTCTACTGCAAATGTTTGTCTATGGAGATTGCATGGGGGTGTGCTTGATTTTATACACCTGTGAGCAACAGGTGTGGCTGAAATAGCAGAGTCCAATAATTTGAAGGAGTGTCCACATACTTTCGTATATATAGTGTATCTTAAGATGAATGCACTAACTAAGTCGCTGTGGATGACTGTCTGCTAAATGACTAATATGTAGCGCGAGGAGAGGAGTGAGATCTGCAAGGCCATGATGCTGGAACTAAAACACAGATCAGAGGTCAGACTGAGGGTTTACTCAGTTTAGTTTGTTAAATAACAACATGCTGCTGTTTCCTGCCATGCTTCCTCTGGTCAACTCTATCAACTCAAAACAAACTTCTATTGACATGTATCAGAATGTGGCCTCTCGTTCTATTCTGATCTAGTCCATTGTACTGTATAATCTACTGTACTCTGTCATAACATACACCTGTCAGCAACGGTTATCAATAAATGTCACAATACGGTACAGATTTTTGATGTGTCTTCTGTGGGGCAAGGAGATCTCCAGCTCCGCTAAAACCAACTGTGTGACGTTTTCAAGGGATTATCAAATAAATGTTACAACTACTTGGTTGTAATATGATCACCTCTTGATGAGCAGTCAGAACTACTAATTTCCGATTATTCCATGCAAAACAATTGTGCACATTTAGCTCTATCATTAGAGTTATACAGCAAGTAACTGCAAGCTTTTCATGATCAGTAAACATCAATTGATCATGTAGTTTCAGATGGGTAGCCTATCCATTTGGCATGTAGCTAGCTGGCTAAGCAAACAACTTGTCATTTATCTTCCTTCGTCATCTTTTGTTTTGGAAAGATCTTGACATTGGCAAGTATTTGAGTCAAAACTCATCCTGGTAAAGTTGTCAGTCTGACTACTGTCATCACCACTAATAGCTGGCAAGTACATTTGGTTAATAGACGGCTATCTGTCTAGTTTATCCCTGAAAGTTAGCTTGTTAACTAGCCAATTTGACGTGGTCCATCAATCAATGTAGCCTATCATATATCTGTCAGCAGCATTTTAAACTCAATTAAAAACAATGTTGAAAAGGGGATAGTATTAGTTAGCCAACTTAGGTACGTTGGTTGGAGAAAAAAGTACATAACTTACCACTATGTTTAGCCAACTGACAAAGTTTCTTGCTACTGGTACTAGCTTGTCAACATTATTAGCTAACAATACACATTCAATTACTTCTACTGGTACTAGCTTGTCAAAATTATTAGCTACCTATACATATTACATGACTTCTACTGGTACTAGCTTGTCAAAATTATTAGCTACCTATACATATTACATGACTTCTACTGGTACTAGCTTGTCAACATTATTAGCTAGCAATACACATTCAATAACTTCTACTGGTACTAGCTTGCCAAAATTATTAGCAACATTATTAGCTAGCTATACACATTCAATTACTTCTACTGGTACTAGCTTGTCAACATTATTAGCTAGCAATATACATTCAATTACATCTACTGGTACTAGCTTGCCAAAATTATTAGCAACACTATTAGCTAGCTATATACATTCAATTACTTCTACTGGTACTAGCTTGTCAACATTATTAGCTACCTATACACATTACATGACTTCTACTGGTACTAGCTTGTCAACATTATTAGCTACCTATACACATTATATGACTTCTACTGGTACTAGCTTGCCAACATTATTAGCAACATTATTATCTAGCTATACACATTACATGACTTCTACTGGTACTAGCTTGTCAACATTATTAGCTACCTATACACATTACATGACTTCTACTGGTACTAGCTTGTCAACATTATTAGCTACCTATACACATTACATGACTTCTACTGGTACTAGCTTGCCAACATTATTAGCAACATTATTATCTAGCTATACACATTACATGACTTCTACTGGTACTAGCTTGTCAACATTATTAGCTACCTATACACATTACATGACTTCTACTGGTACTAGCTTGCAACATTATACTACTATACAATTACATGACTTCTACTGGTACTAGCTGCAACATTATTAGTACATCATACTTACTGGTCTGTGTCACATATAGACATACTACATGATTAGGTACTAGCTGTCAACATTATATACTATACACATTACATGACTTCTACTGGTACTAGCTTGTCAACATATTGAAACATTATGATTCTTACGCTATACACATACAATGACTTCTACTGGTACTAGCTTGTCAACATTATTAGCTACTATACAATTACATGATTCTACTGGTACTAGCTTGTCAACATTATAGCTAGCTATACACATACATGACTTCTACTGGTACTAGCTTGTCAACATATTATCTAGCTAACACATAATGACTTCTACTGGTACTAGCTTGTCAACTTATTAGCTAGTATACACATTACATGACTCTACTGGTACTAGCTTGTCAACATTATTAGCTCTGCGATTACATATACATGAACTTCTACTGCGTACTAGCTTGTCAACATATTAGTAGCTATAACATTACTACTTCTATGGTACCTAGCTTGTCAACATTTAGCTAGCTTACCATTACAGACTTCTCTACTGGATAACTTACGCTTGTCAACATTTATAGCTATCTAGCTACTTCTACTGGTACAGCTGTCATACATTCACGGTATGGACATAACTTCTACTGTACTACTGTCATAACATTTATGTCTGCATAACATTCTACTTATCGTCATCAACATTTAGTACGGCATAACATTCTACTCTACTCTGTAACATTCTACTGTACATGCATGACATTCTACTGTACTCTTGCTAACATTCTACTGTACTCGTGTCATAACATTCTACTGTACTACTGCATAACATTCTACTGTACTCTGTCATAACATTCTACTGTTCTCTGTATACTTTACTGTACTGGCATAACATTCTACTGTACTCTGGTCATAACATTCTACTGTACTCTGCATAACATTCTACTGTAACTCTGTCATAACATTCTACTGTTCTCTGGCATAACATTCTACTGTACTTGGCATAACATTCTACTGTACTCTGTCATAACATTCTACTGTCTCTGCATAACATTCTACTGTACTCTGGCTAACATTCTACTGTCTTGTCATAACATTCTACTGTACTCTGGCATAACATTCTACTGTACTCTGCATAACATTCTACTGTCTCTGGCATAACATTCTACTGTACTCTGTCATAACATTCTACTGTACTGGCATATCATTCTACTGTACTCTGTCATAACATTCTACTGTACTGGCATAACATTCTACTGTACTCTGTCATAACATTCTACTGTACTGTCATAACATTCTA